AATATTAAATCAATGAAAAAAATCCCGATAAAGTAATTTGCCTGGGAGCCTTTGCATTTTTTCTGTATTAGTCACATGACCATGGGTGTGGCCTGATGATGTCATCACTAGTGTTACTGATCATGAAAAAGTTAAAACAGATGAAATAACTCTGAACTAACTAAAGATGATGAGGTTATATGAGACTAAATTTTCCTTAGCAACAGCTCGAAAAGATCGGTTAATGGGCCCTTAAAAGTTTTTCATTGTTAACTCGGTTAACTTTGCGTAGGAGTTGCTGGGGGCATATATAAACTCCCTTGCTGGGTAGGTGAGTCAAGTGGCCGTTTAAAAATACTAAGAAATTGGCTCTTTCCTACTTCCCAGAGATTTCTTTGGTACCTATTGTGTTTTGGTCCTTTGCATATTCTAGGGGGTAGGGGAAAGTTTTGTTTTTTGATCGCAACATCGAAAATAAAGATGGTGTCGTGTGTCATGGTTTTCTTCCAGACGGTTAAATTCTGTTCTTAGAACCAAAACACACCTTTAAAAAGAATTGCAGATGCCCCTATAAATGCATCAGGCAAGCAGCTTAATACTTGTGTTGTAACTTAACTGCACTTTCATCATCACCTCGTGTCAAAAGTGCAAAGTTCTGTACAAGCGTATGGCTGGTTTGCAGTGTCACGCCATCAAAAATAAAAATCATAACCATTCAATAAATTAAGTCAAGAAGCTGGGATATGAAAGATGATTGATACATACACAACCTCGCCAAGATTTAGGTCTGTGCAGTTTTTCATTCTCCTGCTATTCGGAGAAGTGTTTCACACAAATTTATAGAGCTTTTTATGGAGTCGCCATGTTTGTGCCCCTCGGAGGGACACAAACATGCGGCCATAAAGTAACAGAAACATCTGTCATTGAATTTTGCCATTGAAACAAAAAGTTATTACTCTAGAGCTCCGACACATTGAAATTAATACTTTTTCTATAGCAACAACTGTTTAGTTAGCAAAAACTTGAGCAATAACTCATCTTTTTGACTATTTGAGAGCCTTATTGGGCCGCCATTTTAATGTCACAGAACGCATAAACTTGGAAATTCAAACGTGCCCTATTTCAAAATGAGGAACCCTGTCGAGCTTAAACGCTGCAAAACATCAAGTTATTAAAGGGTCTTACATCTGATGAAACTGAAACTTCAGAAGGATTGGTAATTTCTTATTTTGGAAAATGATGACGTCACATGAAGAGTGGCAATACGTGGCATAAGTACAAAGTTTAATACAAACATTAGCAAATACTAACAAAGAAATTATGAAGGGCAGCTTGTACGAAAATACAAGGTTCGATCTAAAATGAATATCTAACAAGGGAAACTATAGAAAAGCAGCTAAAGCAAAATTCAAAAAGTACAAAATTCACTTTCAATACAATCTGAGAGCAGGAAACTTTGACTACGTTGCAAGGTAATATACTACTGTTGGCTTTTAGGAAAGGTTTCAAAATCTTAAAATATGGTTTAAAGTAGAATGACTGAAAAACGGGAAATCCTCTCCTAACACAATTGAGTTACATGGTACACACACATCATTCCACTACCACCCCATTAACCATGCCATTCCCATTTTTATGACAGGATCATTTTGGTCTGCCATTGGGATAATTTGTGGGCCAAGATTGTTTGCAGTTCTATTTGGAGATCAATTGCAGAGTTGTACAGTACAGCAGGAACCAACGTTTGGTGATTGATTTAGTAAAGTGTCCATCTGGAAGAGTCTAGAATAATGAGATGTAATTAAGTTTGATTATTTCTATATTTGTTTTATAGGTATTCAATTCAGCAATGCATGGATATATTTGGTCCCACATTTAATGATACAAACATTCAAGATGGTGCCACTCAAACAAACACCAACTATGGAGGGTATGCCATAGCCTCAAGTAAGGTTAGTCCATGTTGAATTGAGATGAGTGCAGGTTCCTACATGGGTGTGAAGGCATCTGTGATAGGGCGATTCTCTTCTAGGATAGAACTGTTCAATCCTGGCCTCATTCAATCAGCAAAATATGTCTGTATAGTTCTCTGTTTACTTTAAACAATTGTCCATGCGTGCATGGACTGAAGCAACCTATTAAGTAGTATAGGATTATTTTCAGTTCTGAAAAACTACAGACGCTTCCTGACTCCTTTGTTCATTGTGAATCATAAATTAAATAAAGGAAACTAAATACGGAACTGAAGATATGGAAAAGACACCAAGGAAACTAGTTCATAAAGGGAATGTCTTGCTACTGGTATTGTACTGGAATGCAAGAAAGTTGGAAATGGAATGAACACTGGTGAAACTTTCTGAGCAAATCTTACACCTGAAATAGGCATGCAAATTGATCAAGAAAAGCTGTGTGTATATTTCTAATGCTGAACAAAACATGGCTTTTCTACAGAAAAGTCCCACAGAAATGAGGTCTCGCATAGCAGCTAGTGAATGCACAGTCAGTTAAACAATGGTGAAATTAACACAAATTTACACAGTTTGCCTTGGAGGAAAACTTTTGCTCCTTCAACTTGTACAAGGAAACTCTACCTTTATTCAGTGTACTGTCCTGTGAAATCAAGAATACAATGCACATCATGACAAATCACAATTCTAAAGTTTTTGTCCAGAAAACTGGTGGGATTTTATCCTCGAAATGTGTTTTACATTCTAATTCACTCCGCTCAAACAAACGTAAATTATTTTCCGCTTAAATACTGCAAATGCATAACGACAACAGAAAGATGGTTGGATACTCAGGCGATCCAAGCTGACATTTATAAACACACTTGGACGTAACTAGTACAATTACTTCACACAGTGGAAACATTCACTAGAACTAAATACCTACTTAATCAGCTATAACCTTTAGTGAGTAGTGCAAGTACTTATAACCACTTAGATGTGTCCTCAAGGATATACATATCTTTAGCACAATCAGACTTCCAATGCCCATGAAGTTTAAGTGATCACTCTGATAAGTTGACGCCATTACTAACCACGGAGGTACTCCTCCCAATCTTAAACTATGGAGAACATACAACTTATTGTCTAAACCAACATCATTTAAACAATTCTTAAAGATCTCCCAACATCTGGTGTATGAAAGCTTGGTTCCGTACAACTTGTAAGTATTGGAAGATTTAAACAGTCTTACTGGCCTGAAAAGTGCAGCAGTGCAGGAAAGATCAATATCGCCAACAGACATATATCTTTCTAGAAGTGCAACGGGACAGTATTTGCTACCTAACCTTTTAATGTAAACATAGTTGTCTTCAGGATAAACATCATTCTTCGCCCTTGAGACAAACACTCTTAAATGATCAAAAAAGAATTCCATGTGTGCAGGAGTAATGTTACTAAGTTCATCAAAACGAAGTGAAACCTGCAAACCCCACTGAGCAAATACAAGCTATTCATAAATCTTTAAGATTAGCTGTTGGACCAGCATACCTATCAATAATACTCCTAATAACCTCAGCAAAGATTGGTGTCTTAGCAGTAACAGGTTTAATGCGCTTAGCCGCTTCTGGCAGATTATGACATATTTGACTATCTCAGGCTAGTGGACTGGGGTCATTACTTGGACCAAAGAAATTTTTTTTTATGGCTCTCAGACGTCATGTTATACAGCACAAAACTACATACTTCTTGCTGAATTTTCCAGGAACAGAATGTTGCTAAAATCCCAGCTAAACGTAAAACGGAAAAAACTACTGTAAGCCACATTTCGGACTCTTACTGACATAAATTAAAATTTTTCATTGCTGACCGTAAGGTATTAAAAACTAATCGTTGCTAAACATGTTTTATTCCTTGCGGACTGGTTCCGCCGGCTCTCAAGAGAAGCGTTTGCACAGGGTTTGCGAAGCGTTTTCAAAGGGTTTGTGAAGCATTTGAAAAGGGTTTGAGAAGCATTTGCAAAGGGTTTGAGAAGCGTTTGACACGCTTTGCAAACCATTTGACAGGAGTTTGCAAAGGGTTTGAAAGTGTTTGAAATCCTTTCCAAGTGTTTGTAAGGAGTTTGCAAAGGGTTTGCAAAGCGTTTGAAAAGAGTTTGCAAAGCATTTGAAACGCTGTCAAACCCCGTTTGTGAGGCATTTCAAACACCCCCTAAATGCTGTTTTTGATAAGACGTGTTTTCCTATGGAAGGTCACATATTATATAAAACATCATGCAATACACCATGTAGTACTAAAATTATATACTGATATAATATGAAAATACCAAATTATGATATCAAATGTTGGTAATTATAAACAATTGTACCAATTTATGCCTGACCATTGCTTTCGGATGCTAATTTGTGGCCCATCAGGCTGAGGAAAAACAAAATTATATAGTTTGCTTCATATGATAATGAATTTACTGTATTTCAATAAATGTTAAAATCGATTATTTTATAAGAGGAAGACACAAGAATTGTTCAGTAATATATCTAAGTCAGAGCTATTATAAAACTCCAAAGGATATCAGACTGAATTGGTCTCATTTTTGTATATACGAATTTCCATCAGCAAATGAAAAATCACTTTTATGCCATGAAACCAATGTTGATAAAAAACTGTATGAAAAAGCTTCTAATGATCCATACGGCATACAAAACACAAGAATTCACAGCTAAGAATTTCAATGAGAAATTATGAAATATTAATATATCTTTATTATATATGTCTTATTCAAACAGAATATTAGGCTGGTCAGGTGAAGTTGCCTCATCTGAAACAGTAATAGTGAAGGGTGGAAAAGGAGACCTTGGAATAGGTTTTAAACTAACTTCTGATGGCAATTATAATTTACAAAATACATGTAAGAAAGTGTTCAATCTGGACACTCCTGACGATCATAAAGTTGATGATGATTACGACATAAGAGTCAGAGATCTCAAGAGTGCTGTTAACAAAGAGTATTTGAACGACAAATTTTTGAAGAAAGATGAAAATGGTAATTATTTTGATTTGAAAGGATCAGTGATCAAAAATTCAGAACCGTATTATGATGGGTTACATGATGATAATGATCTTGTTCCCAAAAAATATGTTGACACAGAAAACGGTAAGCAAAACATTGCTATAATGCTGATAAAACCAGCAAGGCTTAATGTTGATGCAGAAAACGGTAAGCAAAAGATTGCTATTGCTGATAAAACTAATAAGTCTTATGTTGACAACGCTGATACAGCTCTTCTTAATAATATTAATGGAACAAAACAAGCATTGTCTGAATTATTGGATAAAGTAGAACAAGTAGACAATAAAAAATTGAATATTCACGGTGGAAATTCTATGACTGTTGATCTTGATATGGGTAACAACAAAATTATCAGCTTATCCACTGACTCCCACAACGTGCTGTCAGCTACTAATGTTATGTACATAAACCAGATCAAAGGGGCTATGATTACAACACTGACTGATAGTTTTACCAAAAAGATAAATGAGTCACATATAACAAGTTCTGACAGCAAAAAAGACGTTTTCCCATACATTATGGAAGATGTTAATGAGTCATTGAGCGAAAGTAACATCATCGTTGATGGCATCATGGATTTTCCTGCTTCACATCATGATGTGAATAAAAAAGCTCACAGTTTCAAAATGGGAAAAGGAGCACAAAACTGGTATTCATCTAGACTTGGTTTTAACGTTTTTGTGCTTCCAAACGGTGAGTACACTTTGGTGGTCAAATTCTTCCCGCCAGTTATGGATAAAGTAACAGTGTCAGTTATTTCACCTCAATTGAATATTAGTCAACATTCAACAAAATTGCTTTCAACATACAGTCGATCCACTGTTAACATGCATAAGTATTCTTCAACTGATCCACAAAGAATTTTCGTTAACATAAGGTGTCAGGGTATTGCAGGGTCGTGGTTATTTGATTGTTTATGGAATCGAGGGAAAACAGAATGATGTCAGTTCAGATGTTTATGGCAATCCATACACTTTCGAAAATGGAAAAATGACGTTCAAGGCCAGTGTTGATCTTTTGAAATCACCCAACTTTGATGCTACTGTTAATTTTTTAAACACTACGAACTTCAATGGAAATGTTGACATGGAAAATCATCAGATAAAAAATGTTCAAGATGGTGTCGAAAATAATGATACTGTGAATATCAAACAGTTGAACGAGTTTAAAGATAATCTTGTGAAATTTTTCAGAAGAGAAGTGCAAACCAAAATCAATCCTTTGAACGACAAAATCACTGAACTAACAATAAAAGTATACACTGTTGAAAAACAAATAGCCTGAGTGGCAATACACGACAAGGTGTTCAAAAGATTATTCAAATTTTATGCTGATTTATTAGACCCAGAAGAGTTCAAAAGGAGTGGTCCAAATGTGACTGCATTCAACGATTTGAGCATAGTTACCTCCACTGGTTCACCAAGTAGTAAACCATTTTCTGATTTCAGCATGACTTATGGTTTCGATAATTTTTACAGTGAAATGGATGTCAATCTTGATATCACCAAAGATTTCACGATTTTTGCTGTTGTTAAAATAGATTTCAACGTCTCACGTTATTATTATTTACAATTTCATATGGGGGCAAAAAGAGGATTTAAGACATCGTATAACTTTATAAAAAAAGAAAACAATGTTGTTCTGCCGCAAGCAGAATTCAGTGGAACAAACAATTTCCTGGATTTAACCGGTGATAATAGAAAATTTATTAACAAACAGATAATGTTATGGAGTACAAAGAAGGGTAACAAATTAAGCACAACTATTGCTGGAATTGATCTGATAGAAACCACGGACTCACAAACCCCCACTCATTACACAGAAAACATTCATTTTACATCAATAAAGTCTGCTTATCTTGTGAGAATGGGTTTCACAACGAACTCTTATGCAATTGGTGGAGACGCTTTTCATGCTATGGTAGCCACAGAAAACAAGT